CTGCAAATTTTCGAAAACTTACGAATATTATTCTGACTGTTTGCGGGTGAAAACAAGTCATTTGCACAAAAGACAATCCTCCCTTCCCCTCGAACTACTATAGATGTAGGCATAGCAAAGCTTCTATCAAACTAACAATAAGAGACAGACGAGTTGTTATACAACATAGACGAACTAGGCTTAATGAGAAAGCTCTGGAAGGATGGATGGTCTAGCATTCAGGTTCTGAGCTATCATATGTAGATTTTACCAAGGAAGGTCTAACGCAATAAAAAAATGTAAACAAGGAAAATGGTCTTAAAGAAAATCACCTGATGACATCGGACATCTCTTGTTTTATCTTCTTCTCGTCCTTCTGCCTTGTTGAATTCTCGCTAAACATTCATGATATCACAGTCATCAACACAAACATCAACAACTTACCCTTCTTCGTTCATTTCTTCAGTATGAATATCAAACTGCCATCGCTCCATTACCTCCTTCGTTTTTATTTCGGAAATGACCACGACCAAACGCTTCAATTTTCGTTTGCTTAGCCAGACTAAAAACAATATGCTAGGCAGTGGTGCCAAACCAGTAGTCTTTAGTGGTAGGACTCTTGCGAAAAATAGGATTGAGTAAGATGAAGTATGGGAAAAGCATATGCAACAAAGAGCATCAAAATAATTTCTTCTCGCCTGCAGTTCAGGTAGACATCTTCTGAGACATTTCCCCCTTGGCTATTGAGAGGTTTGAGCTTTCAGAATATTAAAACTTACATTCAACTTGTTTCAGGAGCGGCTCCAAAAACTGCTGCAGTTTGCTATCATTCGTGACTAGTAGCGTCAAACCGTACTTCTTCTCCCTCTTGAATGTGTCACCCGGATATAGGCCTCTTTGGTAAAGTATGCTGTTGATGCCGTAGTCTGGAAATATAACATTTGGACTGAAAGCTTTCCTTCTGCGTGTAGGTCCGATGAGACAGCAATGGTTTTAATACGCATGTGAAACCTCGATGCAAAACGTTTCCCAACTATCCAAGGATGTCTGCAGAAAAACTTACGGAAAAACTCCTGCACCAACTGCGCTGAGCCTTTCAAGCTAATACTTCCCTTTGTTTTCGTGTCAGTCATCCTGAAAAGAAAGGAAGCTCAGTACAAAATGATTACAACTAACAGTTACATAACATATTTAGCCTAAAGTCTGGAAAGAACCGACCTAGGAATAAGCAGGCAAAGGTTTTTTTAGACAAAAAACCGTTCGATCCTCGAAGTGACCCGCTTCCGAAAATCTCGTTTCGCGCCGTGAGTGTCGCGCCCTTTAATTCGCCGTGGTCCACCACGATACTTCTGCCAAAATTCAAATGATTTTGCTCATTTTTTGTTGTCGCAATCATTTCCTGTCAAAACAGCCAGTCAGTGATTGCGCTGTTTCCCCTTTTTCTTTGCTAATTCAGTCACAAAATGATATTTTGCAGGAATATGTCAGTCGGCGACTCGTTGTCGCTTGCCGTGGCTGTTTACGGGTTTCTTCCTCGAACAAAACGTGTAGAAGAAGCTGGTCATGCTTACGAGTGCTCTGTGATTCGTGATAAAATCACATTAGGCAAATGTACACTACCAATTCTTAGAAGAAATAGCGAGGATGACCTTGAACTCACTCCAGAAGAAGTGGTAAGTTTTCATCTTGTTAATGATAAGGTTTTCTGTTTAATTCCTTTTTTTTCTTGTCTCAAAACTGAATGGACAGTTGCCCAATATGCTAACTCCGCTATGGTACCTGACCGGATTATTATACCGCAGAGTTGTCTTTATGATGCCAAGGCTGATTTCGAAAGTCATCTGACCCAATTTTTTTTCAAATGTGGTATCACTCTCGAAGTGATTTGAAGCTCATTTTTAGGTCTGCAGAAACCACCATCAAGCATCATGTGTATAAGCTTAAGATATGCAAAAGTTGCTACTAAAAAA